CAGATTTTGGTCTTCATATATTCTCTACCCATGTACTCATATAATCTCATGTAATCCTACTGCTTTAAAATAATTTTAATATGGAATGACTCCAAAATGTACATGTCCATCCCTAAGCCTTCCCCTGAGCTCCAGACTCATTTATCAAATTGCCTACCCCATATCTCCACTTGGATATTTCCAGGTTTCTCAATTTTAACATTTTCAAAACAGAATTCTTGAGTTTTCCACAAAATTCTGCACCTCCCCAAGAATTCCTCTTCTCATTAAACAGCACAGCCACCTACTTAAATATTAGCATTTATATTTCAATATACAAGGCAATTACCAAGCAGTCTTCTTAAACTTCTTCCCTGCTCCTGTATCCTAATCAGTCAGTAAGTCCTGATGGCTGTTTCTTCGAAATATAGCCTAGATGCGGTCACCTTCCCCCCATCTCCAATACCATTGCCCCAGTTCAAATCTCCATAACCTGTTGTTTGAACTACTGAGACAAGTACCAAACTGGTTTCCCTACTTCTACTCTTGCCCTTCTATTCTATTCTTCAACTCAGCAGCCAAAATAAACCTTTAAAAAAGTTAAGCCTCCAATGTCCTCCAAGCCTCCAATGGCCCCTCGCTGACACATAATGTACCCCTCGCCTCAGCCTTTGAGGCTCCACATGATCTGACTCCTGCTTTCTTTCTGACTTCATATCATACACTCTTCTCTTTGCTGACTCTGTTCCATCTATACAAGACATCTTGCTGATCTTGAATATATCACAGTTGTTCCCACCTCTTCCCCAAAATATACACATGGCTGGCTCCTTCATCTCGTACTGAGACTAAAGGGCATTTCTCTGTCTAAATTCCACCTCCTTAAAACCAAAACCAAATGTGTTGTCACTGAGTCGATTCCGACTCATAGCGACCCTATAGGACAGAACAGAACTGCCCCATGGGGTTTCCAAGGAGCAGGTGGTGGATTTGAACTGCTGACCTTCTGGTTAGGAGCTGAGCTATTAACCACTGCGTCACCTGCTTAGAGATGACATTTTCTAAACATTTTGTTGAAATAGTCTCCACATCCCATAATTCTCTTTATCTTCTTATCCTATTTTTTCTTTATAACATTTATGAACCTGACCTTATATATTTGTTTTTTTCTTCACTATACTATAAGCCCCAAGAAGACAGGAATCACATCTGTCTGTCTGTCTTCACTGCTATTTCTCAAGAGCCTAGAACAGTGTCTTGCACATACAGTTGTTGAATAAAGGCAGGGGTGGGGGGAAAAAGGGGAGAATAAATTCCTCATGACATTGTAAACTGGTATAATCCTTTCAGTAAACATCTTTGCACAACATATTAAAAGCCACATAATGTTCTTAACTATTGTAGAATGGCTACTGAAGGGGACTGGATATGTCCAGACAACGTATTTCAATTCTTTCCCACATGCTTTGGCCCAGTCTGCAGCCTGACCTCTCCTTGCCCCTAACTCCAGGCCATCAGAGGAGGGTCAGCTCATCAGTTTTCCTTCTTCTCCTAGATTGTTATAGGAGTGGAAACTGATTGCTCATTAACTAATTTCTTTCAAATATTCAAACAAAATGGTGAGACTATAACTGTCATTGGTTCAACTGCTTTATATTACTTTAGGGAAACAACATTTTTTTTAATATTATTTTTATTTTAAGATAATTGTAGATTCATATGCCCATAAAATCCCATTGCCATATGCGGTTTCATATGCAGATTCATATGCAGTTGTACAAAATAATACAGAGAGACCCCATATATCCTTTACTCAGTTTACCCCAATGGGAACATCTTACAAAACTACAGTACAATATCACAACCAAAATATTGACATTTTTACACTCAAGATACAGAACATTTCCTTCACCTTATGGATCTCTCTTGTTGTTCTTTAATAGCCACATCTACTTCACTTTGGTCCCCACCCCCTCCTTAACCCCTGACAACCACTAATAAGTTCTCCTTTTTTATAACTTTGTCATTTCAAGAATGCCATATAAATGAAATCATATAGGATAAACTTTCTGAGATTGTATTTTTTTTAACTCAACATGATTTTCTTTTTTTTTCTTTTTTTTTTTATTGTACTTTAGATGAAGTTTACAGAACAAATGGTTTCTCATTAAACAGTCAGTATACATATTGTTTTATGACATTGGTTAATCACCCCATGACATGTCAACACTCTCCCTTCTTGACCTTTTTTTTTTTTTTTGCTGAAAATATACATAGCCAAAGTTACACCATTTCAACAGTTTCTACATATACAATTCAGTGACATCGATTATTATAGTTGTGCTGCTATTCTCACTATTCTTTTCCAAATTATTCCATCACCATTATCTTCAACTCACTGCCCTCTAGGCTTCCCATCAAACCTTTTGAGGTGCTGTTGTCAATTTGATCTCACACAGATAATTCTTTTTTTTTATACCTTAGATGAAGGTTTGCAGAACAAATAGTTTCTCATTAAACAGTTAGTACACATATTGCCCTATGACAATGGGTGACAATGCCACGACATGTCAACACTGCCCTTCTCAACCTTGGGTTCCCTATCACCAGCTTTCTTGTCCCCTCCTGCCTTCTAGTCCTTGTCCCTGAACTGCTATGCCTCATTAGTCCCATTCTGTTTTATGGGGCTGTCCAATCCCCGGCTGAATGGTGAACCTCGGGAGTAACTTCACCACTGAGCTAAAAGGGTGTCCGAGGGCCATACTCTCGGGGTTTCTCCAGTCTGTCAGGCCAGTAAATCTGGTCTTTTTTTGTG